AAAGGGGCGTGACTTAGAGGAAGATCCTCATTGGTGGGGCTTCTGGGAGTGCCCAACATTGGGGGGCGTGGCTTTCTGGAGGGCGTGGCCTGTGATTGGTCAGGGCTTGCAGTGGGCGGGGCTTGTGTGATTCTTGCTTGTGGGGGCGTGGCCACCGAATGGGCGGAGCTTGTGGGAGTGCCTATAGCTCGTGGGCGTGGCTTTGTGCTTGATGTAGCCTGTGATTGGTCAGAGCCAAGAGAACGCGGGGTTTAAAAGGCTGCTTGCTGCTGGGGGCGGGGCCAAAGATTTGTCACTGCCTGCAGTGGGCGGGGCTTTGTTGGGGTCTGTGATTGGTCAGTGCTTTCAGTGGGCGGGGCTTAGGGGGTTGCTCTCCTCTGAGGGCGTGGCTTTTTCTGGTGCGCGTGGTCTGAGGCGGAGGTAGGCGGGGCTTATGGCGTTCCTGTTGTATTCGTTTGCAGGTGCTGGCCTGCGATTGGCCTGTTCCCCGAGTGGGCGGGGCTAACGGGTTGCCTATCACTGGGGGGCGTGAATTTTGAGCGCTCTTAGCCGGGGGTGGGCGGGGCTTAGGGCGTTGCTATTCCATTGGGTGGCGGGTGCTGGCCTGTGATTGGTCTGTTCCCCGAGCGGGCGGGACTCGCGCCGCAGCCAACCAACGGGCGTTTCCCTCCAGCCGGCCCCGCCCTCCGCGGTGGCCCCGCCCCCTGACGCCCTCCCCCCATCGGAGCTGCTCCCCCCGCTGCTTCCCGACCCCTCCCCCGCCGCCGCCGCCGCTTCCACCGTCGATCCGGGCGCTTTAAAACCCGCCCCGCCCCCACCGGAAGCACCCGTTCCACCACCGGAAGTCCCCCTCCCTCAAGCGCCGGAAGCGACCCCTCCGACCCGGAAGTCTAAAAGCAAAGGGCCCTACGTATGCGCTCAATGCGCCAAAGAGTTCAAGAACGGTTACAACCTGCGGCGCCATCAAGCCACGCACGGCGCCAGGCCTCCGGCCCTCATGGGGGCGCTGCCGCAAGGCTCGAGCGCCGCCGCCGTCTCCTTGCTCCCGGACGGCAGCGCGGCTTCCAGTCCTCCCATCCTCATGGGGGCGCTGTCGGACGGCACGACCGGAAGCGGCGCCGGAAGCGCCCGCAAACGGAAGAGCCACGCGTGCGAAGCTTGCGGCAAAGCTTTCCGTGACGTTTATCACCTGCGGAGGCACCGTTTGGCCCATTCGGACGAGCGGCCGTTCCAGTGCCCGGTGTGTCAGCAGCGATTCAAGCGGAAGGACCGCATGGGGCACCACCTGCGCGGCCACCAGGGCGCCGTGCACCGCCCCTACGCCTGTGCGCACTGCCCCAAGGCCTTCTCGCGGTCAGTCTCTATCATCCGTTTCCTCTTTTGCCCTTCTAGCACTCAGTCTCTATGGTCCCTGCTCTCGTGTGATCCCTCCCGGTCCTTCTCACACTCAGTCTCTATGATTCCTGCCCTCCTTTGTCTCCCTTTTTGCCCTTCTAGCGCTTAGTCTCTATGATCCCTCCCCATCATTCCTTCCGGCCCTTCTAGCACTCAGTCTCTATGATCCTCGCTCTCCTTTGATCTCTTCCAGTCCTTCTCACACTTAGTCTCTGATCTCTACTTTCCTTTAATCCTTTCTGGCACTCAGTCTCTATGATCCCTACCTTCCCTTAAACCCTTCCGGCCCTTCTGGCACTCAGTCTCTATCATCCCTGCCCTCTTTTGCCCTTCTAGCACTCAGTCTCTATCATCCCTGCCCTCGTTTGATCCCTCCCGGTCCTTCTCACCCTCAGTCTCTATGATCCCTGCTCTCCTTTCATCCCTTCCGGCCCTTCTAGCACTCAGTCTCTATGATCCCTGCACTCCTTTGCCTTTCTCCCCCTCAGTCTCTATGATCCTCATTCTTTTCCCTGGCTCCCATCGCTCTCCCCCCATTTTGCCCAAACTCCCCATTTCTTTCTCCTTTTCCCCCCAAATTCCGTTCATTTTCCCCCCATTTTTCCCCTTTTCTTCCCCCCCCCCCCTTCCTGCTTCCCTTTGCCCCATTTCTACCCTTTTTTCACCCAATTTCTGCTCTCCTCAGCCCCGATCACCTCAACAGCCACGTGCGCCAGGTGCACTCGACCGAGCGGCCCTTCAAGTGCCAGGTATGGCTGCCCCATAGAGATAGAGACCCCATAGCTGCCCTATAGCTGCCCCATAGAGACCCCATAGCTGCCCCATAGATAGCCCCAAGCCCATCCCAACATCATGTAGGGGCCCCATAGCAGCCCCCAGCCCCCCCCAGCCCCACATGGCAGCCCCATAGGTACACCCAGCCCCATCCCAGCCCCACATAGAAGCCACATAGATGCCCCCAGCCCCACATAGGGACCCTTTAGCAGCCCCCAGCCCCACATAACAGCCCCCAGCCCCATCCCAGCCCCACATGGCAGCTCCCAGCCCCATCCCAGCCCCACATAGAGGCCCCACAGATGCCCCCAGCCCCATGTAGC